AACATGCAAATTGTTGAATTGATTAGAGAGTGAAACCTCGTACAAGTGATATTAAATACAATTCAGGATCACTGTCAATAACTTGACCCCCCAAGCAAACGTGACAGAGAATAAGAAGCAAACCATTTTTGCATGGAAGATCTGCCATTTCTGCAAACGGCCTTTTATCATAGCATGGGGAGATAGCTATGCACCGCCCTTCTCCTTCCCGCCTCTGTTACTCTCAAATTCCAGTTTGTCTGTAGAAACAGTCTAAATATTACCTGGCCCCGTGGAGTACATCATCTCCGTGTTCTCCTCCTCACCGTATGCCGTCACCCCCCTCCGAGCGCTCAACTCGTCGACCCTAAAATACCTCGGTGCCCTGGGAAGTTGGGTAAATTCTCTCCTTCGTCGGTGAGCTACTACCGGCTTTGGACTCTGAAGTTCGGTCCGCTGGACGGGGCTATACTCATTTTCATGGCGCTGACTCCCCTTATGGCGGCTGGTGGGTTGGTGATAGACATTGAGGATGTCCTTGCAGAGCCTATTGTCACGACTCAGTCAATTTTCTTCTGTAGGCGATAATTTGAGTTCACAGTGAACTTACATGATCGCACCAGCCGCCCACACAAATGCCAGCAAGATTGCGCTGACAGCCACAATAATTAGACCGAACCCCGAGACGGTGATTGGCGGTTGCTCTGGAAGGGCAGCTACTTGGGGTGTACTGGTGGTGATCGCTGTTGGACGAGCAGTAGAGCAGGCGGAGATACAGGTTTCTTGTAAGGCGTCGGAGAGCTCGACGCTCAAAATGGGTGGTGCCATCTGAAATGCTGGTCGAGATTGGGATGCTTGAGATGCTTGTTTTCCTAAATCGAGGGTTGGAAGTTTGCTCGAATAGGAGAGACCAGAAGAAGAATACTCCGTGAGAAATTGCAAACACTGGAACGCGAGCAAACGTGGACGAAGCCGTGCATGGTTATAAGTGCTCGGCGCTAGTAGCAAGCCAGATGTGCACAAATTTCGTTTTGCAGAGTGGGAGAAATTACATCTTAGCAAGACTTCTCAGCATAGTGCGCCTCCCAAGGATAAAAAGAGAAGCACATGATCACTACCAGCAACTGTCCATTCCGAGCTGCCTCTCCCCCATCTACTGCTGCCATCACCTCCCCTATCAATCACCCATCCAGCTACAGTAGCTCGGCACCTGCAAACAAAATGGGCATCTCTCAGTCCCGTCACCCCTCCGAATACGAGGTCAAAGTCGCCGCCGTCATTTCAGGCCTGTTGGTGGGGCTTGCGGCGGTCACAGTTATAGGGTTGGCAGCGTGAGAATCCCCCTTTGGCATTCTGAATCCATATCTAGCCTCTCTGTGGACCCTCACAAACCCTTTATTACTGCTTATTACAACAAACACACTAACAACAAAGCTTCCAGGGCGTTCTTTTCCATCTACCGCCGCCACATCCTGCTCCTACACCTGCGTATCCGGCTGCAACAGCTCCTGCCACAGCGCCCCGTCGAGGCCGTCAACCACTTCAATTTGAACGCCCTCCGGAACCCGGTCAATAACGGCGATGGCCGTAACGAGGAGATCATCGCCGAAAATGGTACTCCCAGGGGTGTGGTTGGTACCGGCGCAGCTGAAGCAGGACAAGAGGGCAGTCAAGTACCAACCCGGATGCCTGTTCGCACCGAAAAAGAATGAATGTTGAGGAAGCGAAGCATGCAGATTGATGGCCCAGGCTACGCGCCATGGCAGTTGCTGTATACCCTTCCGTGGCATGTATGCTAATCCGGGTAAGATGTCACTGTAGCCATTTGTTTCATTGACATAACCCGGTGAAAATGTCTTTCATTCATATTTCCTTCCCTTGCAATGCTTGTTTTCGTGGATTCAACGTTGTTTTTGGCTTTTCAAAATGTAATACGAGCCTGGTGAGCAGCACTAGGACGTATTGAGTTTCTCCGTATCATGTATTTGTGGTTAAAAGAACGCAAAATACTTGCTGGGGTGCCTTTGATTGGTCCAGGAAGGCTCTCTACTGAAGATCTGTGTGCCCTCTACGACCATGGCTATATGTAATTATCATGATGTTATACGCCAATAGTTCTTGCAAGATACGTCAGACAATTCTGGTCCGTTAGATTCCTTCCCTTTACCCTCATCTAGCTAGTAAAATAAGCATTCGGACAGGGGCTCCTGCATATTATGCGATATGCAGTTACTCGCATGAGACTGGTCCAAAGTTTAGTTTGGTTGTACGGTAGTCTGGTTGCACCAACCCTCCGATCGTAGTTTGGTTGTACTAGTACATAGTCTGGTTACGGTCGGAGGACTAGTTTGGTTGCATGGTAGAAATGTCCGAATTTGGACTAGGCCCATCTCATATCATGTCAAAAACTGCATAACGCATAATATGCATGAGCCCCTGTCCAAATACATATTTTACAAGCTAGTACAGACATAGAAATCTACACTTCTCTAAGCTTACCGGATATACCATTACCTCCTTGTCGTTACGACTATGTCAGCTACGGTAATTCACAATGATAGGCTATTCGCCATTTGCCTTCCTCATGATGCAAAGAACTAGTTGCTATCCATAGAGATATCAAATGCATAAATTGTAACTACATATAATGTAATCAAAATACAGTGTCCTCACGCATCTGAGCTCGCGCTACTGCCCTCCCACCCGCCACACCCCCAAGTCTATTTTATTCTCTTTCTTTTGTTTTTTGTCCGACACTCGTGCGAAGCCCTGCTGGACTATGACGAGGCACGGTTAACGTGCGTGAATAGGAACGAAGTACACACACCCTGCGCCACTCTCTACGCTTCTGCCTCCCTCTCAACCCCTTGCAACTTGCGCCTCCCCTTCCCCTTCAGCGCAGGGCCTCTATCACCGCCTCCACGATCTCCATGAGTCTGTGCACCCCCCCCCCTTTGATTTCGACTACCATTTCAAGTCTTCCCACATCGGAACCCTATCCGACGCTGCTGCTGGTCTTTGATACTGAAGCTCGGAGTGTTCCCAAGGCGATTCGGAAGTTCAACGCCTACAAATAGCGTGAGAGAAGGAATGGATACACCGGTGATGGTTAGGAAAATAGGGTCAATACGGGCCCATGCTCGATTAAGTTGACGTCCACACACTTTCAAGTACAACACCAAGGCTAAGCAGAGCTTCAACGATCAGCTTTTCCCACCTCCCGCAATATTGACCAAAAACTACGTGAGCAGAAGCACGAGACGGCGAGGAAGCATGTAGGCTCATGGGACGGCGATGAGGCATGTAGGCTCATGGGACGGCGAGTAGGCATGTAGGCTCATGGGACGGCGAGGAGGATGGAGGAGGATTTGTTATTGTTATGTGAACAGGAAACCGATTTTTTATCGTTTTCGGACGTCGTGTAACGAACAGGCTTGATCTGATATCCGAAAATTTCAGGCTGGCGTAGCGGTTTCGGGAGCCAGGGTGGTTTGTTATTGGAATTTAGCGAACAGGCAATAAATTTCTTGTACGTTCTCTCCTCTCGCAGAGAACATTCTCGCAAGACCCATGTCTCCCTCTTTTTTTTTTTTTTTTTTCCTCCGTCTCATTTTTGTTTATTGGAATCAAACAGGCCACGGATTTGGATGCTGTTGGTATATCACGAACACTTAAATAGTCTGCTAACAGGCTATACTTTTGCACAAATTCTCGCGCCTTATATACTGTGAGTCCCTGTTGGGTTTGTCACCCCCTGGCGATTGGTCACGGGACTACCCGGTGGTGCGGGCAAGTTATGATAGAGGCGGAGTCGACGCAGAATGGGGCGTGCGCTCTCTCTGCCAGTCGTGGCTCGCCATAGTCATCAGGACGGTGAGCTTTGATTGAAGGAAAAAAAAAAGGAGCCCCAAGAGCATTCGACTTCCTAAGTAGGCTTGCGACGTCGGCGAATCCTCGCTCATGCGAATTCTTAGATCGCATGCGCAACAAAACTAAAAGGTGCATGCATGCGGCAGTGGTTTAACTTTGATGAGACTGTGCGTGCGAAGGTGAATGGTTCTTGTTTGTGCTGCGCTTAGAAGCACTCAATGGGGCTCCTTGAGCACTCAATGGAGCTCCTTGACTTTGTTGTTGTGAAGGCAACGACGAAGTCTGCCAACACATTTCTCCGCGATCGGTGTACTGAGAACCCATCAAAAATTGAGCTTGAGCAAGAATGTGATGCCTACTGGAGCCTAGGTGTTAGTGGTGCGCATTGTCACGGCTTGGCGTGCCATGGCAGCAGAGGGAAGCTGATTACTAGTACGTGTGGACGTCTAAGGGAGCCAAGATCCTTGACCACGTGCGCAAACGTAAGCGAGTCGCTGACTGGCCCGTACGGATACTCCTATATATACCGACCGCACTACCGGGTGGTACCGGTAGTTCTACCTTTTGGTGCAACGGTTTGCAAACGGTCGGTTGCAATCCGTAACACGCATCGTAAGGGCGTTGGCATATCCTATAGTCATAGTTTGGGTACGAGACCAACTATTTATTTGCGAACTCAAGCGCTATCCGAGCAGCATGTGTATCCTATATTCCCATTTGTAGTGTAGCGACACTGGGCGATTTCCCTGACCTGAAACGAAATGTGGTCCTAGTCTGTCTAGACTATCGCTTCTTGTATAGAATATCGCGTTCTGATTGGTGGTATAGCCGTTCTCGAGTCGACTAGAAAATACTCGATGCTCGTGGGGGAGGATTAAATGTTGCAGCTGTGATTGGAGTACAATATTTTGCCCGTCGCAACGTGGGTTGACATGTGGGCTGGGGGCACAACATTAAGATATTAGTTGAGTTCGGCAGCCGTTGAAGCAAACCGGCAGTCGTTGAAGCAAACCGGCAGTCGTTGAAGCAAACCGGCAATTCTATGGAAAGTAGATGTTCTTGTACCCAGACTCAAAGTAGAGGCTGGAAAAACTTCATGGTAGCATGGGAATAGTCTTGGCATCGACCGAAACAAAATTTTGAAAAACAAAAGGTCGGACTGGGAGTCGAACCCAGGTTACGAGAATCAGAATCTCATGTGCTACCGTTACACCATCCAACCATAATAATATACTAAGAGATTCTTAAATTCGAATGATTAACACTATTGATAGCGCACTTCAGATCAATCACGTCCTGCAAGGCTTTCAGAGCAGGTGAAACAGCGTAAATGATCTTGGTACTGTGGTGGTGGCGTCGCTTAGGTACAACCTTCCTGCTGTGCATTTGTTACAGACGGCGATCCATTTGAAGCGTTCGTTGTGTTCGGCTGCACCGTGAGATTTTTTTTTTTTTTTTTTCCCTGAAGGTCACGCATACAAGCTACCAGCCAACGACAGGACATCGTAAAAGCCGCAATCGGGAGAGGGCGTACGGTGGAGTTGCGTGCGATCGGGATGACTTACTGGAAGTCGCATGTGAGGTGGTGCTGAGTTCTTCAGGGGCGACCCTTGCTGAGGTCACCGGAGGCAACGCAGGGAAAGGGAAGGCGTGAAGGTCACTGACGCAGGCTAGAGATATGGAAATGCCGTCGCAAAATGTGGAAGTAAGGAAGGACAGGGATTGTATTGCAGTATAGAGGCAAAGACCGGTGAGCCCGAGGACATGGACATATCAGTGGTGGAGGATTTCGGGTTACGAGATTCTGTGCAGTTGTGCAAGGTATAGATCATGACGTGGGATGGAGGGATTAGCGGCTATTAGAGTGGCCCTTGGAGCACTTAAGATGTGCACAAGCGCATGGTAAGATTCTGCGCCTGCGGCGAGCGTGTATTCACTCTCTAGTGCAGTCGAGCAACGCACCGCATTAAGACGATACATCACTTCACGAGCGACAGACAGAAGCGACAATGGTCTCGATGTTGGTGCTCAGTAGACGATAAGAGTCCTGTAGTGCACAAGGCTACATCCTGCGAAATGAAAGCAGGGCTGAGGCATGAGGTGGGGCATCTGGGTTCAAGTCCCAGCCGATCCAGATGTTTTTTTTTTTGAATATCATTACCCGCTTGCAGAGTCTGGGCACGAGAACACTTGCATGCCACCCCAAGGGCTATTACGAGATCAGCTAAATACAAAGGAACTTTAGTGACGATAAAGGAGTCGTAGAATTTATGATCCTCTGGCTAGCTAGATACGATTCTCCGGAATATCATAGGCAAAATAATAGAAGCACAGCGTGACTCCACAACCGGGAAATTGTGTACTTGGAGGAGGAGACGGAATAGACAGAGTCAGGTTAGGCGGGAAATTGCTGAGGACCACTCAATACGAGCCGGACAGGCGGAGGAAGTAGGCTGTATTGACCACCCGCACCATGTACGAGAATCGCGGGCACCACATGTATCTAGGGATAGTCATTCTTTTCATTTTTTAATAAATACCTCGCCATAGCCCATAGGGCGGTAGTCTCATACCAAGCCCCTAGGGCACTCTCCGATGAGACTAATAGGGCGGCATGCGAGTAATGATATTAAAAAAAAAAAAAAAAAAAAAACCGGGAAATTCTTCCCACTCATGCAAACATAAGTTGTATGCCGCCTTCTTCCTAATCCTACTCACGCCAGTTTTCAACTATGCACTCCCCTCTCATGTATACAACAACTGAACTAGTCTTCTTGCCCTCTCCCAGTAGTGACTCCTTCTTTCTCAGCCAACGAATTCTCTTAATCTTCTCCATTTACCCTGCTTGCAGCCCCCAGCAAATCCCCCACGCTCTCTAAGGATTCCTCAGGGCTATTCCGTGTATCACAATCACCCACATGTGCTCTCTAAGCAGCACCAATGAGTGTGTGTCCCTTCTGTGTTGTGGTAGAGAGAGGGAAGGTGTAAGTGGTGATGCTAGTGATGCTGGTGTTTTTTTTTTTTTTTTTTTTTTTTTTATCATTACTCGCATGCCGCCCTATGGGCTGCGGCGAAATTAATTACATGATAGATTCGACACAGCTGGAACGGATCAGTGTTGCCAACCGGCCAGGCCGCCCTCAGGTTATTTGGACGTGGATTTAATGTAAAGCTTTCTATATACGCGATCACTGATATTAAAAAAAAAAGAAAAAAGAAAAAAAAAAGCTTTCTATATGCTCGGATACTTATCTAGATGGAGACAGACATGCCAACGACCGGTACCGGAGATATTTTTGGCAATTCTTTCAGTGACCTTTCTTCACCTTCCACAGTGCGGTTATAGTTCAAGTAAAGATCTGGCATCAACGATTACCTGCAGTCAACCTGATGCCGAGATCGAGTCTCCCGGAATTTGGGCTACAAAAAATCCGATGCGACAAAGCTGGATGGGTGAGGCTGTGGATGATAATGGAAAGCGATACTGGCAGTCCAAGCTCTGCAAGCGAAATCCTAATCGTTAGAGAATAAGATATAGGTACAGTAGGCGTTAGCGTACGTTCTGCATATAGCTACTATATAATTTAACCCACCACTGCACTGGCAGCCTGAATGGCCTGAACCGGCCTGAGCATTCAGGCTGCTCGAGCCGGCTCAGGCGTAGATTTCGATGGCCCAGGCCGGCCAGACCATATCCTGGGCGGGACCACTGGAAGAGATACAACGCTCGTAGAAATCGACACCATTGTACATAGTGCCACACGGCGCGACGTTTTAGCGGGGGACTGTGGGGTTGTGCGAAGATAAGCGGTTGTTGATACCTCACGGCAGATTGTCAACAATTTAGTGACACCTCGCTTTAACAGTGCGCAGTCACGTGCCGAATCCATTGTGATAAATTTTTTTTTTTTCTTTTTTAAATCACATAACCCCGCTTGTAGCACGTGGCCATGGCAGGGTCATTGCGATAAATTGGATCCTTCAATCTTATCAGATCCTTTAACTGGTACAAATCTATTTGAAATCGACCCGCCGAGGTGATCCACACGGCCCGATGTAGTCTCGTCGCCCGATGCACCAACCAGATTATCTTCAGATCTAGGTTGTCAAAGTTCATTGTGTTGATCACGTGTTCTCCGTGACGATCTACAACACAATCTGCAAGGTCAGACTGATCTGGTTTCATCGACGTCCTTCACCTCTCCAACAAGCGGCACACAATTATAGGCTTATCGCACCAATGCCAGAACAACTTAGAATCTTTGTACGTGATACCCAAGGTGATGATCACATGAATATTTGTCTGGCTAGTAATGTTACTAACTAATGTTTACTAACTAAAGTGGGAGGGTGAGAGCCGTACTGCGAAAGACGCTGCGTCGCCACTGCCTGCCAGCAACCTTCCCGATTCAAGAATATGAATATCTCGCTGATCGGAACCATTTATCCCCTGTGCAATACCGCTTTTAGGCATCATTTAATCTTAAACGAACAATTATAGGGCGGCATGCGAGTAATGATTTAAAAAAAAAAAAAAAAATCTAAGGACCTGTAAGGCGCAAAAGGATGAATAGGGAATCTTGTGCAGCATATTCACGTATACACGCGGTAACGGAATTGAAACCCAAGACAAGGAGGATTATACCAATTCCAGGATCCCCACGATGTGGTATAGTCCGGATTCATCGACAGAAGTTAACTAGGGTGCTGTCTCTATTTTTGTCAATGGAATGGAAGAGCGGTAAATTTGTGTTATCCTGGGATATATTGGAACTGGCAAAATTCGGTATGGGCGGCATTTGGAGTTGCCCTAGGTTCTGCGCAAGGTACCGGATTCGGAGGATTTCGCAGTATGGGTGACCTAATCTGGTTGCACTGAACCTCCGACCGAATGGGGGTCTGACTAGTTGCCGACCAACGGAGAAAAAAAATTAAAAAACAGAAGAGCAAAAAGGAAGGTGAGATCGTTCCTACTGTATTCCGTCATGAATTTTTCAGTTTCATCAAGTTACCTCTCTTGGTTCAATTCTAAATTCTCCCGAAGGGCCCCTGTTCAAAGAAAAGAACCAATCGGAATAAAAAAAAATACAAACAAAAATTTCGTACTAGAAATGTACGCCAAAGGTACTATAAAATGATCCCGTCTCTCCCGTTTGATTTCAGATTCGTTTTTCTATGATACAGCGTCTTTATTTTCATATCTCGGAACCCAGTTCGTATTGACCTCTCGCCGAAGCTAATGAAGTTTCACAATTCTTGGTTTCCAGTCATCTAGTCAATCAAAATCAACAAATGGCACTCTTATATCCATCTAACGAAAAGAAGCTATACTCTCAATACCAAAACTTCACAATAACGCTAAATCAATCAAATGCATCTTCCGTCTCACCCCACCATTTCTCTCTCTTTCCTCCACATCCGGCTGTCCTTTCCCACTATATACACTCCTCGACTGGTATTTATACTTCAGGCGTGCCTGTGGGGCTCATTACTACTGCCTCGCCCTCCTCTGGTGCCCGCTTACCCAAGCACGCAAACACAGACTGGGCTTCCCTCCATCGCTTTCATCATCATCACGTTCCGCAAGCTCTAGTCTTGGAGTATGGCACAGACCTTATCCCAGCGATTGATCGCCCCAGCGATAGTTCGGATCACGGCGGCGGTTATTTATTCCTACTCCGGGCAACGTATCATTGCGACTGAAATGTCCAGATTATGACTTCCTATTCGGGGAGAAAGCACCCTTTCACGGTAACGCCTTGTCCGGACGTCTTGTGCGCCATTTACGCTCGTGCCAGTGCGTGGTTTTATGCTGGGTCATGTTGATGTTGGCATTGATGTAGATGCTGTTTTGCAGTGTCGATTTCCGCGCGTCAGCCTCGAACCCATAAGCGCGTGATGATTATCGGAAACATTGCACGAAACTACAGAAACATCCGAGTTTGCCACCTCATTCTCAGGCCTATCTTCCGCTCGCACCCCACGAGCATCGTTGAAAAACGATGCAGCAAAGCCCATACTCGACGAGCTCGAGGACGCTAACGTTCCCCGCCCTGAAAACGCCAATAATGGCCAACGGAATAATCCCTGAACATGACCTCAGTGTGAGAACCAACTCACTTTACGAATTGTCAGCGGAGGTGGTGAGACACTTGAAGATGAGGGTTCGAGAATGCACGGGGAACTCCTTAGTGCTCATATGCATGTGTATTGCCAGAAAAC